TCTTCATATATCAATAAATTTTATATAAATATAAATTTTTTAATGATAATATAAACTATGAAGTTTATGAATAACTAATAACTTATATAATCATTTTTATTTAAATTTATATATTTTAATATAATAAAATAAATTAATTATATATTGAATATACTTATATAATTATCATAAATTCTAAAGAAAGCTTAAACTATAAGTTATTGAATTCAAATGCTTAAACTATAAGTTATTGAATTCAAATAATCTCTAAACAAAATATAATAATGTTTTCGATTTCAATAAATTAAAATTTTAATCTTTAAAATTAATATCGCATACAAATTTTTTTCATTGGAGATTCTTCCATAAATTATTGTTGAAGTAAAAATATAATAATTGATTCTTCAGTATTTCTTGCTATCTTTGAAGTAGGTGTCATTTTAATTTATGAGGGAATAAATTTTACAAATTGAGGTGAATAGATAATTTGATAACAGTTGAGTTATAATTTAGACTATATAATTTTATAATAAACATAATCATTGTAATAAGCTTATATATACATTTTCTAATAATTTTTTATATTCAAATTTATGATTAAAATTATACACTTTATTCACTGTAAGTTTGATATTACTTATCCCAAAATTATACTTGGTTGCCCTCATTTTGAATACATAAAATTTATCTCTAAGATCTTTAAATATTTCTTAGATTTTATAATTTTCATGTTCCTAAATCATAAGTATATCATTCAATTAATTTGAATATTAAATAATATTAAAATAATTTTTAACTAAATATCTTAACAAATATTTCATAAATATCATCAATACCTCAATTAATTAAATTTTTTGCTTATATATTGAATAGTACGAACATCGTCATTCCATAATTATCATATATCTCAATATTCAATTTGTAACTATAAAAATGTAAAATTCTACAATTATAAATATAATATAATAATTTAAAATACTTTTATTATCATCATAGAATAATACTTTTCTTATGTATCAAATATTAAAAATAAATAAATATAATTACCTTGGAGTTGGACTAAGGACATCAACATTGTAAAAATAACATTGAAATTTATCATCAACTTCAAATAGTTTCTTGTTACACCCACATGACATATAATATTAACAAAAAATAGTATCAAGTTTCATGATAATGACTCTACTGATGAAAGACTTTTACTATATATACCAAATCATTTTTAAATCAATTATTAACAAAAAAATATAAACAAACTAATATCATAGTTAAAGAAATATAAAATATAAATATAAAAAAGAGAATAACCTTTAAGTAGTGCAGACCTAGAAACGATACAAAGTGAAAATCAGAGAAAAAATTAAAATAGAGTTGAGTAGTGATCAAAAGATATAAAATTAATGAAAAATGGTTAAAGATGCGTTATGCTTAGCCTAGAGCTATTTATACAAAAGGTGTATTATAGGTTAATTAATAAGATAATTTAAAATTATAAAGTTAATATTGAAATAATAAAATTGTGAGTGAATAATGGTCTAATAATGATAAGTTAATTGATATTGAAATATTTTATTTTGACATTAACATTTACAAATCCCTTAATTTAGAATAATATAAAAAATTAAATTTATTGTATTTAATAATGGCAATAAAATAAAATAAATTTTAATTATATCAACATACATTAATATCTAGTTTTTAAAATTATAAAACATTACAAGTGAAATTAAATGAAATCTATATGCATTAATATTTTATCAAATGAAATCAAATGTGTATTAATATTTTACCAAATGAAACCATATTTAATGAAATATAAATCTATCAATCAAATATAAATTAATAAAATATTTTATTCCATTAGTTTAATAATGAAGAATTAAATTTGATATATTTGATTTTTGTATTTATACATGAAATACATCAATTATTTAAATGGATACTATATTTAATCAAATATAAATGTATCAAATAAGTAATTAGAGAATCAATTATTTTATAATTGTAATTGCCATATTTATTAAAATATTAATTATATATTGATTGATTTAATTTGTTGAATTATGAAAATTTTAAAAATTTAATACTTTTAATATGAATTGAATTGAGAGTGATTTAAAATCAATAGTAAAAACATAAATATAGCTAATTAATAAGATAATTTTATATTATGAAAATTAGTATTGAAATGATAAAAATTGTAAGTGAATAATAGTCTAACAATAACAAATTGATTGATATTAAAATATTTTATCCTGCCATTAACATTTACAAATCCCTTAATTTAAAATAATAAAATAAATCAAATTTATTATACTTAATAATGGCAATAAAACAAGTTAAAATTTAATTAAATCAATGTGCATAAATATCAAATAATAAAATTATAAAACGTTACATATGAAAATAAATAAAATCAATGTGTATTAATATTTTATCAAATGAAATCATATTTAATGAAATACAAATGTATCAATCAAATATAAATTAATAAAATATTTTATTCTATTAATTTAATTATGGAGAATTAATTTAATATATTTGCTTTATATATTTACACATGAAATACATCATGAAATATATTAATTACTCAAATGGATACTATATTTAATCAAATATAAATGTATCAAATAATTAATTAAAGAATCAACTATTTTATAATTGTAATTGTAGTATTTATTAATTTATTAATTATATATTGATTGATTTAATTTGTCAAAATAAATTTTTTTAAAATTTTAATACTTTTAATATGAATTGAATTGAGAGTGATTTAAAATTAATAATAAAAGCATCAATATAATCAATTTAGTTTTTGAAATTATATTTGCTTTATATATTTACATATGAAATACATTAATTACTGGATACTATATTTAATCAAATATCAATATATCAAATAATTGATTAGAGAATCAATTATTTTATAATTGAAATTGTAGCATTTATTAATTTATTAATTTTATATTGATTGATTTAATTTGTTGAATTAATTTTTTTTTAAAATTTTAATACTTTTAATATGAAGAGGGATATAAAGTTAATAATAAAATTATAAATATATTCAATTTAATTTTTTGAATTATTTTTAAATTAAAAATGTATTAAATAAAATAAAATACATTTATTAGATGTTACGTGACGATTTTTAAAATTATTTACATGTCAAATTTTAAACTATTCACATAAGATTTTTTTTTCATTTTTATAAAAATTTTTTACTTTTATATATTTATATAAGATTAGGCATATGGATGTGTAAAGATGGAGACGAAACCAAAAAATAACAAAATGAGTCAAATAATGAATTAAACGACGAAAGGGAAACAGATATTAGTTTTGATAAACTCAATTACTAATTTAGAATAATGTAAAAAAGTTTTGGGGGACTATGGCCCCTAACTGCCCTCGTTGCTTTATCCTCCATGTAGAATGCAAAGCCAAACAATAACTAAAATGGAGTTTTTGGAAGTAATTATAAGTCCAAAAGGCATTTTATCATTTTCTTTGTTAAAGATTGTCAACAAAAGATCACGAGTATTTTGAATTTTTGGATTAACCTGACATATCAATCGACTTATAATGTTAATGTCATATCAGTTAAATCATGTTATCGCTCACCCTTTAAGCTTTTTATTTTATATCTATAAATAAGATCCTTCGAATATTATTTAAATATCTGATTTTTTTTTCTTTTAATCTCTTTTATTCTCACTTTTAACTAGAGTAATGAAGTGTAAATGCAAGAAATATTTATTGTCTTGACCCTTTGACTGCCCTCTTTTTCTCTTTGGCTATTTCAAGATTTCACCCTAATTCAGAGATCGGCACTAATAGGAGTCAAACTGTGAATTGAATGAAAAAACCGGAGATGCATATTAATTTTGGTAGACTTAATTACTAATCTAAAATGATATAAAAAATTTGTTGGGAGGCCGTGGCTCTTGCCTGCCCTTGTGGCTCCGCCCGTGTAAAAACTAGTAAATAAGAAGGGTTTTCTTCGTATGAATTGAAAGTTAGAACTAAAATCACCAAATGATCAACAAGATTCCCAAGTTAAAATCATCTTACGAACAAGATGAAATGGCTAAAAGCTACGTTACACACTGTTTATTCACTTTAACCTAACATGTCAGTGTTCGATATTTCTTGAACATGCATACATAACAGTACGACATCACACCTACCTGTTAAAAACATGGAGATGGTGAGACATATCCATGTCCAATATCCTAACAAAAAAAGGAATTTTTTTTTTCCTTTATTGGAGCTATTGATTCTCAAATTTCCCTATTTATCTTTGGAAATATTAGTGGAAAATCGAATTTCAATCCAGCATCCAGAAGATATCGTTTTGCTTGAAGATGGATAATATTCTTCGCTTTCAAAGAGTTATACTCTCCCATTTTCTTTGACAATTTAATTATGTGTTTTTACATGTTTATTTTATATTAAATGTGTAAAATATAAAAAATTATCATATTATAATTTTTGTGAACATGTCAAATGTAAAATATATATTTTAATTTTTATTAAAATTTTAAATTATATTATTATTTTTTATATCATATTTAAAATTATCAAAATCTAATTGCTCTTTAAACAGCCCTATCTAACATTCGTCGAAAATCCCCTTTACGCCGTTATAGCCTACGGAGAGCTCCGAGTAAAACTTGACATGGGCCTTTCCTGGATCGCCCAATGGAAGCGAGTTATTAAGATGAAGAAAAGTTGTTTATGGCGGGCTTGGTCAAGGGATTGCAACAGGCTCAAATAAATCATGACCCTGTATTGTTTATAATTGTTAGAACCATATCCACAAAGAGTTTCAACATGGCCAAGAATGGAAGGACGCTTATGGGTTGGCTGGTGGAAGCTTCCTTTCAAGCTTCCCTTTCTAGAAAGTACAACGTTGCTGCGTTCATTACGACATGACATGTTCATAAATCACAAATAACTTAGCACACGAAGCAATGTCGTTTCCGACAACATGGGATGTCGTTACTTATATATCATTGGCCAACACATTTGTACGTGTAATGATCAAGAGCCATCGACCTCCGGTAATCATCTTTGAATATCTGTCTTTTAAGAGTGAGGTTCTCACAAAATACACGCCCTCTGGTTATTTCCTTTTTTGGTCGGTGGCTGACTGATTTCCCCCCTTTCCGGTTTATATCGATCTTCCCCTTCTTTACAAATCACCAATCATTTCTTAACCAGTTCATCTCACTTTCCAGAACATGTAAGTTCAAGAATCTTCTTTTTGTTTTCATTGCTCGTTGAATATGAATTTATAATGCTCATTTTCCCTGGAATCTGCTTGTTGTACAGCCTCCATCGTTTGTTGTTACGTTCATTTAGAGCTCTGAATTGATTCTTATGCCATAAAGGGTCATAGTTTTTTTTTATATATATATATAAAATTAAATATTTCAAAACAAGATTTATTTATTGTCATTTTTTGTGGATACCCTTTTGTTTATATAACTATAAGCTTTTCTTTTTTTTTTTGAGAAATTTGTCATTAGTTTTATCTTGTTTTTGTTGTTCTTTTCTTTATCATGAGGCTAATTCGTTGTATTCGGGTTCCTAATTCTAATGCTAATAGCAGTGCCAAGAGAAGATCAATGGTAAAAGACACTGCATATTATGATATATTGGGTATCAATGTTGATGCATCCACAGCAGAAATCAAGAAGGCTTATTACCTCAAAGTAAGCTTCTCATTTCTCTCCATTATGTTTAGATTTGTGGGTTTTTTCAAATATGCATGATTTCAGAAACACATATGAGATTGCTACCTTACTTGAAGGGGAAAAGACTTTATCCTTCTGTCTGACAAGAATTAGGGTTGCATTTGTTCTTAGAAGTAGTTTTATATGTTGTTTTTGTTGATTTTGTTCTATAATTGTTTGTCAGCAATATCGTGAAGTACAAATGAACCTTATTCCGAGATTTTCAATCATAAAAAATACATCTTATAGTTCAATAAGGTTGGCCTTTTGGTGTGCGTTGAAACTGTAACAAGAATAACAGACTTGTGTAATGAAATCTGTTGTACATTATATGATTCTTTTTTTTGGAATTTTTTAGGCAAGGATAGTTCACCCCGATAAAAATCACGGAGATCCAAAAGCTGACGAAAATTTTCAGGTAAGCAATCAGATTTAACACTCGAAATTTTCACCTTTTCAGTATGTTGCTAGTTTAGTCAAATCTTTGCAAATATAGTTTTGTAGATTCATAGAAAAATCTCCTTAAAAATGAAGAGCCACCAGCAGGCACTGTTAGGTACTGAATCCTAAGCTCTATATACGCACCGCTGGTTTTTAACTACTTTAGAGCACTATTTGTATTGAATTTGTCCTTTCCTTAATCCTATCTGCTCTAGTTGAAAGCCATAACAATGAAAACATATTCCATCATCTGCATTTTTTTATCATGTATTTGGTTCTTACATTCACTGTTTGATATATGTGAAGGCACTTGGTGAGGCTTATCAGGTTCTAAGTGATCCTGAAAAGCGTGAAGCGTATGACAAGCATGGGAAAGCAGGAGTACAACCGTAAGTTTACATGCTATAAGTATGATTTTGAATAGTTCTCTTCTTATAAAAGAAAGTTATTTACCTCGTAGTTATTTTATTAAAGCACATGATTTTGAAAAGTACAAAAGACGTGTTCATAGACACTGCCATTAATCCTAAAGAATGTTTTCCTTTTCGTACACAGGGACTCCATGTTGGATCCTTCAGCTGTTTTTGGGATGCTTTTTGGAAGTGAATTCTTTGAAGAATACGTTGGCCAACTAGCTCTGGCTTCTTTGTCATCTGTTGAATTAGAAGATGATTCACTAGATAAGGAAGCTCGTATGCAGAAAATTCATGAAAAGATGAACGTAAAACCCTATTCAGAAGTTTTATTTTCTAATGTTTTGCTTACAATTACACTTAAGTTTTTGCCTTTTCCCTTTTTAAACATGCAGGCATCTCAGAAAGAAAGGGAAGAAAAGCTTATCACAATACTGAAAAATCGCCTTGAGCCATTCGTTGATGGTCAAACTGATGAGTTCATTAATTGGGCAAATTCAGAAGCAAGTCGGCTTTCAAAAGCTGGTAGGTTTTATTTATATATGTTCTCATTGTGCTTCTTAAATATTACTATTGCCATTAACTTTGTATTTTCTACCACTTTCAGCTTTTGGTGAGGCTATGCTACATACCATTGGATACATTTACACGAGGAAAGCTGCGAGGGAACTCGGAAAAGACAGGCGTTTTATGAGGGTACCCTTTTTAGCAGAATGGGTGCGAGATAAAGGGCACCGTATAAAATCACAAGTAATGGCAGCTTCAGGTACAAAATGCTGCAGTTAAAGATCTAGATCTTGTTTAATGGCCTTTCCATTTTAATTGAACTTCAAATTTCAAATGAAACTTGCAAGTATGTGCATGTCCTTGTAGGTGCTGTTAGTTTGATTCAAATACAAGATGAGCTGAAGAAAGTGAACCTAGGAGAAAACAAAGAAGAGAACATATTGAAAACCCTTGAAGATAAGAAGGATGCCATGCTTCAATACCTTTGGCAGATCAATGTGGTTGATATTGAGTCAACCTTATCTCACGTCTGCTTAGCAGTGAGTTAACACATTTTCTTTCTTACCTTTATCAGTGTGATTCATTTCAAAACTAACGCCTTTGTGGTGTGTCTGTGTATTCTTTTCATAGCATTCATCTAAAATGACACGCAATTTTTTCCCCTTCCCTTTCTATTGCTATGATGATTGGATTCGTATCAGAGGATAAAGCATTCTCATTACTTAGCTGGAAAATTACGCAGCCATGAAATATGTTCTCAATAAAGTCATTGACTTCATTTTTCCACCCTGCACTTAAAAAAATGGTCCAACCCACTTCTATAACCTTTTGGAGGAGTTGCCAAGCATGCCTTTCTTGGGTTGCCTTGCAACTCTTATGATCTTTTCCAGAATTTCAACTATCCTTTTATCTGCTGTACATGTAAGTTTGGTCTAGAAGCCGAATCAGATTCAACATAGGGTGATATTTTTCATTTTGAGGAAATTATTTAAATCTGTTCATCATCCAGGTACTCAAAGACCCTAGTGTTTCGAAGGATGTTCTAGTTTTACGGGCAAAAGGATTGAGAAAACTTGGAGCAATTTTTCAAGTAAGCGTGTCTTTCCCTTCCACAAATTAATGAACCATAGTCATTCCAAACAGTCTTGTAATTCAGCTTGATTTCGAGTTTTGTTTCAAATGGCATATGTTACAGGGGGAGGGGCACTTTTCATTTATGTTTTTTGGTTCATACTGAAAAGAATTTATCTTCCATTTTCAATTTCTCAGGGAGCAAAAGGTGCTTACAGTAGAGAAAACAGTTTGCGCCATGAAAATGACAAAGCGATAAGTGTTGGTACCTCGTCATAGTTGTCTTGATACTCGATGGATGTCCACTTCATTATTAATGTATGTGGTGTGTCAGAAGTAGTTGGGTTTTATTCTTGTCCAATTTGTCGAATTTTCGAAAGTAAGTTCATTATTGATGGTATTGATTCAACAGCATATTGAATTTCAGACAAGAATTAAGGTAGGAATCTTCGTGTATTCATCACTGCAGGATTAGTTTTATTGTTGTAGTAGACTGTATATGCTGATGGTGATTTAACCTACATCTATGAAGCATTTGGAAATTAAAGCAGCCAGTAAGTTTTTCTGTGACAAAAGCATTTTAAATAAACTCTTGCAACTTCTATTTGCTGATCAACTTCATAATATAAACTTGCTCAGTTTTGTGTTACAAAAGCATACTAGGAACATTTGATGTTCTCTCAATTTCATGTTCTTGGGAGGATATTTTTGCACTTTCCCTTTGATGCTCAGGCACAAGTTGCCCCTAAAAAGGCATATATACACATCCATAGGTAATGGCAAAGCTTATCTCCAACGAGGTGGAAGAATAATTATATCGAAGGCAAAATTGGCACCAATTCCTTTGCGACCCTTTTGCAAATCATGCACCATGCAATAGTTAAATAAGACATTATCGTGTCAATAATCGTGTGATGTATTAATAAAGTGTTAGAATTTTAATTTCAGTAATCAACGAATATTTATTTAAGTATCATAATCCGCAATAATGTGCAAGACTAACTAGGGTGCTGCCGGTGGCACGAAGCTCATATCAGTAAGACAAGGGGGTGATTTTGGATTATAAAATCATGGGTCTGCCTACACCTAATAGTCACTCATGTCTTTTGGGTTGGAATCGTGGACTTGTAACACTAACATGTCCTAGGGTTCCGTTTTACTGATTTTCAGAGTAAATATCAAAGGTTACAAAGTCACAAACTCTCCTCATTTTCTACTTCTTTTCCCTTAAAGAAAAAGAATTTGTGCATTTTGATAAGATTCAAATATGAAGCCATAAATCTTTTAATCTTCTTTTCATTAGACAAGTAATTGAAGCTCAATTAGTCATACAAAAGGGAAAATGATGCAATGATGAAACAAAAAAGAAGAAAAATATTATCAGAAAATTAGAAACCATTTCCAAAAGAAGGTGCCATAATATATGTTGGTATATACTCTCTCCAAGAGAATATAAAGAATAAATCTTTCCCAAATGCTTAAATGCGGCCTTCAGATGAACTAAACATCACAAACATATCTGATATCACACTGATCAGAATCCATTAAAGCAGCATGCCAAGAATTATGCAGAGATGATGTATACATGAACCCAACCTCCTTATTCCTTTGTTAATGTTATGTCAACCTTGTCGTCCACAGAATCTTACTTTAATGGCATGGCCCAAGACCAGGAAACTCCCCCTATGCCCACACATTTTTCCCATGTTTCCCATTTTGTCATTGTTGTTGCTCTTCAATTGTATCATGTCTCCAAGACAAAATACCACAAATCCACAGTAAAAAAAATCAAATTAAATGTTTTCTTCTTCTCTGATGAAAGAAATAAAGCTCAAATTTTCACCTGCTCAAAGATATTAACCAGCCCCTTCTTCTTTCTTACTCGGAAGGGTTTCATTTTCTTTTTGCATAATATTTTTATTAACTACCATTTTCTCTGTTGATTCTTTTTATGTTTTTCAAATAAGGGTGGGGAAGCAACTGCTGTCCATGAAAGGCTGCTTATAGCCAAAACCAAAGACTATGGAAGATATGATCCATTACCAGCTCTTGTCCGGCCTACCTTCAAGCTTATAAGTCATACCTAATTGATGATTTAGGTGCATGGTGCATGCAGCACTGAGTAAAGAGCGTGGCAGCTTCATCACTGTACTTCTTTTTTGTTAAAATAGATTTATTTTTTTCTTAATTTGTATGATTATTAACGGTAGAGTTTGAGATTTGCGTGTCTTTCAGCTGTCCGTATATGTCTTACATTTGAAGGAAAGTGAGCTTGAAGATTGTAATATAGACATGCAGTTGATCAAGAAGCAAAATTTGCTGCAAGTCAAAGCAAACTTCACATCACCATACTTCTTGCTTTCTCGTTTGCCTCAGTTTTTCTTGAAGAGAAAGCCGGTATAAAAGTAAAATCGAAAATCTTAAAGACTGGCCCCTTGGCAACCAAGATTGGGCCAAGTCGAAGCGGCTTTGTCAGATTGGGCCAACTTGAGCCTCCGCTGAGAATAATGCACGGTGGCGAACCCTTTCCATGTAAAGTTTCCCACTGCCCAACTTGATTACAGCAGTCTCATGTTTAATCCTTTATATAAATATATATATATATATATATATATTATTTGATATACTGTTAATGAAATTTTTAATTTTATAAATGAATTAAAATAATAACACATATATATTTTTTTAAATTATTTTTTAAAAATATATACTAAGCTTAACTTGTGAAATTAAAAAAAATTTTCACTGTCAATATATTTGATAATTTCTCATATATATATAATATTACTTTATAGATCAAAGACAAGTTTGTTTAATTGGCAAATTCATACATTTCCAATAATTTAGAAATGCAAAGTATTATAATTGGTTTATGCAATTAATTTAAGAAGTGATATTCAATAAATTTGAATTTAAATCTTAATATTTATATTTTTTTTAAAATGAAGAAATTAGTTAGTAAAATTTTCATTCTAAGAATTCTTGAAAGAGTTACTATTGGTGGTCAAGATTAAATTTCATTTTGCTCATAAAATAATTTACAGACTTATTTCTACATAAAACATTATGAGATATTTACATGCAATCATTATGTCACCATGAGGGAATTTAAAGAATTCATCTTCCCTTATGAAAAATACATGTTTAATGAGACACATGACAAATTTCTTTCCTTATTTGTACAATTGCTTAAGGGCTAAGAAAAAAAAAAGATAGTTGCTCCCATGCTTGATTTTGGCATAGAAATTTGTTCATGAAGCCCCCACAAAAAACCCCATCAAAGTGACTTATGTCTTAGTTCATCAACATCTTACCCTTCGTTAAAAAGAAAAGAGTTGGATTTTACCTAATTTCGTTTGATTTTGATGTTTTAATTGTTGTTTGTAATAACATTGATAATGATTAGGTATCTCTCAATCAAGTTTAAACACCACACGCCACCTTTGTTTTTTCTTTTATTTTTTAAAATTCTTTATTAAAATGTCACTTTTTATTTTTATTTATTTTTAATCAATAAAAGTTTACGAATAAAAAAAAATTATCTCGTTTTTAAAATTATGACAAACTATCGACTCATAAAAAATTTTTAAACTTATAAATCATTTATCGAAATTGTAAAAATTTGAATTTGAATGTTTTGTATTTAAATCTTAAATTTTAATTATATGGTCGAATCTTAATATTTTGTATTTTTAACTAATTGTGTCAACTTTTATTGATATTTTTATCTTTAACATTATTTATTTGTTGACAAGGAAGATTTAATTTGAGTATAAAATTAGTTATAAATATTAAATTTAAATTTTAAAAATATTATATTAATAAATTAAATTAAAATTAAAATTTTATTTTTATTTTTATTTATTTAATTAAATGTAAGGATGGTATGGTGCAAAATAAAAAAAAATTATCATAAATACAACTTTTTTGCTGAAATGTAAATCTGAACCACATTAGATTTTATTTCCTTCATATATTTTGTGCAACTGTGCAACTCAAATCTAGTACTAAAACGAAATTTTCCAACAACGCATTTCCAGACAATTGTGCTTGCACACGCCTAAACATTTCACTATAAAATTTAAATCATACGTGTCATCCCACTTACTAAAATATTACATTGATGTGAACGTAAAATATTAATATTATTATCTTATTATTATAAATTAAATTAATAATTTTATTAAATTTGTAATTAATTATATTAAAATTTCAATATTTAACAGTTAAAAGTATGGTTATTTTTAAAGAAACACTATTTACAAGAAAAAAAAATGTGATTTGAAAAGCAAAAAATTTAATGATTTATATTTTTAAATCAAAAAAAGTATTTATATTATAATTATCTAACTTTTAATATCATTTATTTAATTTGTTTTTATTAAATCTAAATACTCATGTTAGTGTTTGCTTTATTATTAATATGATATTAAAAATTATTATCATCATAATATCATTGAATTAATCACATTAAATATGAATATTACATTAATTAAGATATTAATAATTTAAATATTACATTAAAAAATTTTTAAATTTAAATATCATATTAAATATTTTGTTAGAATTTATTAATTATTTATAATATTAATTTTTTTATCAAACAAATTGTAAGTGACAATCCTAAAAAAAAAAAAATTGAATTTTCTAAAATAATGGTATGTGGTGAGTAAGGATGAAAAAATTCAAGAAATTTGAAAAAAGATTTAAAAATATAATATTCGATTTGATTCAGATCGATTTTTTATTCAATTCAGATCAAATTTAAATATTAAATGTATATATTAAGTTCAAATCGAATTTTAGATCAAAAGGTATAAAATAAAAAAAAATTGAACTGAATGATATATATTTATATTTTTAAAAAATAAAAATTATAATTTTATATAAAATTACTTAATTATATTAAATTATATTAAAATAATATATACAAATTAAAAAATTAAAAATCAATAAATTAAATCAAATTAAACTCATAAAATTCTATTATAGTAAAATTTGATTCAATTAAAATTACATAAAAATTTAATTTATATTTAGATCAAACTTTAAATTTTTATAATATTATATAATATTTAAAAAAATCAAATTAAATTTGATCTAAATTAAATTGTTATCAACCCTACTAATGAGAGCGAAAGAATGTAGAACTTAACGAGTAAGAATAAGGTCTCCGTAAAGAATCTCTTTAGTAGAAAAAATAATTTAATAAAAAATTTTCATGATTATACCTTCGTGTGACGTGAAAAGCACGAGTATGCGTACTACGCACTCCGCGTACCTGATAAGTAACCACCCCTTTTCTTTTGGTTACCTCTATGGCTCTCTCTCTCTCTCTCTCTCTTTTTTAACGCATAAGGTACAAGTTAAAATAAGCACGGAATCACTTGCTCTAATGTATCACACGGTTCAGCACAATTCTGTCAAAAGAACTTAACGGCCGATTCTAACGACGTTATAAAACCGTCTAAAACGACCTCACTCCTTCCCTCTTTTCTCCCTGAAACAAAAGAGAAAAAAATAAAGGAAAAGAAAGAACAAGCAGCCTTTTAGTCTCCTCTCCCTCTTTTTTTTCTCCATCTCTGAAAACACTCGGGTTTCTATTTTTGAATACGCTGTCGTTCCGGAGCTCAAATAGGTAGGTTCGAATCCGTCAAGTTCTGGTTTTACTTGTTCCGAGTTGTTTGTTAGTCATTCTATCTAAGTACCCGAAAATCAATTTTTATTATAGTAATTTATAAAAAAATTTAACTTTCTTTTTATTTTTTTCCTGGAATATACATGTTTTAGATTTTGATTTTTTTTTACCGTGAGTTAATGTTTTCTAGGCATTTATTTCGGATCTCTTTTTGACGTGAATTCGATTTTGTTCGTTTTACTATATTTAGGGTTTTGAATTTTTTTTTTCAAGTTAATTAATATTATTTTTGTATTTGGATTCACTCTTATTCAGTCCCTAAAGACTAGCTATTGATAGATGCTTGGTCTTTTCTAGCATTTTTTTTTTAAATTTCGGTTAATTGCTTTTATATTACGCTATTTTTTTTTTTTTTGGCTTTCTCTTGAGTTTTGAGTGAGTTGATGTGGATACTGAGAGTGTTCTTCTGAGCCTACAAACTCTGTCACTTTGTTTCTCAACTTAGTTGTTAACTGATTAAAACCCATTTTACTACCAATAATGGTAATTTCTTTCTTTTTTTAAAATTTTTTTTGTAGGTTTTTTGGTTAATTTTGGTTTCTTTTCTCAAATTCTGTTGTTTTGACATCTAATTTAAATTTAATTATTAAGGATTAGGGTTAGGTTTTAAAATCAAGTGCAATGAATTTTACAAGTAGTATTTTATTTTCTATCATCTAATTTATTGCTTATTGATTTTTAATTTTATTTTTTAATTTTTTTTTTTAAATGTTAGTGAGCAAAGGAGTATAACACTGGCGGTTTTCTTCCAGGAGTAATGTTGATGATAGCGTGAATGATGGTTGTTTGAATACTGTTAGAGAATTAGATTGTGGTGTATTGGATCATGGGGGCTGCTTGTTGTGTTGCTGCTAGAGACAAAACTATAGTAAATGCATCAGGTAATGAGGCTTTACATAGGAATATAAGGTGTTCACCAACATGGAGTTTTCGTTGGGATAACCGAGGGCGTGTAGCGGGCGAAGACACTTCTGTTAGTTGGTTTTCGGATGCGATTAGTCGGAATGATGGATCAGAGATCAAATATGAATCTGCACGTGCATCAGTGGATGGAAGTCCGCCTGAGAGTTTTCAGTCTCGTACGTGGCAAAAGTCCCCAACTTCTGAAGGAACTGTTGGACAAGTGAGAACTCCTGCTTCAGGTAAACTCCTGGGATGCTGGTCATAGTGTGAATCATGCAATATTCAGAAATGTTGAAGTTAGTTTTGAACGTTAAACTAATTTTCCTCTTACTACTTTACCATATGGGAGCATAACTGAATTAGATTAGATGATAACTTGCAGTGAATGAAAAGGTACAAGGAATATAGGCATAGAATGGTGCTTCTGACCAAAAATCAGAACATTGATGGGCTCAAGCCCTTATATGTAGTGGAAGGGAGCAATAATGTATAAATTCAGTTAAAAATAACAAAATTTCTGAGTCTCTCTTTTCTAGATGCATGCTATTAATACTTTTAATTTTCTTAGGTTACTTCATTTGGTAATCTCCGGAAAATCTTGTTTAGTAAAATAGATGCATGCATAACTGGATTAACCTTGGCCTATTGGTTTGACGATCATGGTCCAATCAACTTTATAGGGCCATTGCTTTTGGCCTTCCTTCCTTCCTTCCTTCTCCTTTGAGCAATCTTTTACTTTTGGATGGTCCCACTCTCCCTTGCTTATGTTACATAAACAGTGAGAGTAATATGTGAATGCTTTATCTTAATTCAGTTTGTGAATTTTCCAACAATTCTATGAACAAGCTTGACGGTTACCTTTTTTTGGAGTGGGGGGGGGGGGTGCGCTAGGCCTGAGATTTGTTTCACTCGTCTCTTTGTTTGTGTTAATCTTATGGTTCTCATGGTAGAAGGAAACAGGTCTTCTGTTAAATGTTGGCCATATCATTCTATCTTTTTGTTGGTTTTCAACCTTTAGATGCGAGAAAGATCCTTTAAAAAAATAAAAGGATGTAAGAAAGGACCTTTTGGAGTTGTTCTGTCTGACTTTCTTTTACATATATTATGCAGATCAATCTATTTCAAGAAATATCTCTATTGATGTGAACTTAGAGCAGGTAAAGTTCTTTCCTGTAGGACGTAGGTTCATGCCTTCCTCCTAGTTCCAACTCTGTGATAACTTCCCCATAATATGACATCCTTTTTGAAATCTGGATTGTTTTCCAGGTGAAGGCGTCAGTAGAATCCCCTGCTGCCTCATATCCATCTCCCTCTAAGTTATCACTTTCTTTGCCATCAGCTTCCTCCTTAGCAACATCCCCTTTGTCATCCCAGAGTCATGTGCATCCTACCAGTTCAACAACAACAAGGTGGCCTCTCAGATCTCCTGGACGTCATCTATTGCGTCAAGTATCTGATAACTGTATTTTGGGATTGAAGTCACCTAATAGATGCTCGGTTGGCGAGGAAAGGCTATCGATGCCTTCATGGAGCAATGAATCCACTGGGGGCTCTGGGGGTGGTTCTTCTGATGGTTGGTCTATGCATGCCTTTTCTGAACTTATGGCTACATCTCGTAGGGAAAGGTGGTCTTTTGATAATGACACATGGGGTTTTGATCGGGAGAAGATAAGCAAATCCAGTGGCCGAATCTCAGCTTCCCCCTCTGTTGATCTCCGAACATGTGGTGTTTGCTTAAAGCTATTATCAGAAAAATCTTTATGGAGCAGCCAAAAGATTATTATTAGCAATGATCTTTCTGTTGTTGCTGTTCTAACTTGTGGGCATGTTTACCATGCTGAATGCTTGGAAAATATGACCCCTGCAATCGACAAGTATGACCCTGCTTGCCCCATATGTACTTTGGGGGAGAAGAAGACACATAAATTATCTGCAAAAGCATTTAAAGCAGAAATAGATTTTAAGGCTAAAATCAACAAAATATCGAGGGGCTGGGTTGTTGATGGTGTTGATAGTTATATTGATGGTGATTCTGTTGTATTTAATCGTGTGAAAAGTACTGGACATGAAGGGAAGGCCTCCATTTTGAGCATGAAAAGCTCCATGGGCAGGCCTTTCCTGCGGAAGCACTTTTCTTTTGGATCAAAGGGAAGTAGGCCCCCTTCAGAGAATTGTTCTGCCAGGAAAAAGGGATTTTTCTGGACCAAATCTAGCAAGATGTGAACTTCATGTATGCTGTTAGGAGGTTAGTATCTCTTTGACTGATGTACTACTTTTTTCGTTACAGGCTGAGCTATTTATTGAATTTACAAATAAAATCTGCGTTTCTTAGCTTAACGTCACAGTCGGGACCACAATCTGTCTTTGCTTTTGGCCTTTGCTAGAAGTAAACGGACTTTGATACCTCAAAATACACGAGCTATTTATCAAAATTTTCAAATCATTGGTTTCGCAGGACTCACTGTGATTTTTTTTTCCTGCTATACAGATACCGGTTTTGTTTTCCACTGCAGTCATGTTGGATATAGGGATTGCAGACAGTGCAGGATGTCATTCTTGAAGAATTCCTGACACCACCATTCTGAAGTTTCAACACAATTATCTTGTGGGACTCTCACTGTAAAGAAGAAAATGGAAATTACAGGTAAAAGAATAGCTAAACATGAAGAAAAAGTTTAAGGAATGAAAAAAAAAATAGTATAACATTAGTGATTGTATTCTTATTTTGTACAGATTGATCTGTTTCCTGCTTGGATTCATAGACCAATTGATTCATATGAAATTCTGTATGGCTAATTGACTCTGGATCTTCCGAGAAGCCAGTTATTTCTTTTTAGGGCTTTATGTTATTGGCTTTCCACGTTTTCCAATTGCCTTGGTATCTATTAGGGTTAGCAACGGGTCGGGGCGACACGGGTTTTTGCTCACTTTGAATCTGATTCGAATTTTTTTAATTTTTTTCATATTCGAATTCGATCTGATCCGATACCATATAAATTGTATTCGATCCGAAATTAACAAAATATTATTTTTTAAATATAAATATTTAAATATATAATTATATAAATATATAAATAAAAAATTAATTTAAAAAATTAATATTGGGTAGGATAGGTTTATCTAAAATAAAAAATTCGATCCAATCTTTTAACATTATCCAACCCGAAACTGTCGGAGTGGGTGCTCACCCTAGTATCTATTTATCCGTTTCATTCAACGTGCAACAAGGCAAGGCATGCATATTTGTTTTGCTGAACAAATAGGTGATGAAAATATTTGATCTATTTCGACTTTTTGAAGTAATTTGATCTTTTTGAGAGTTTCTACAACCTGTTTTGGTTAAAAGCATTTATTTTTTTATTTATCATTTTGATTTTAGCCAATTATGGAGGTAAATGTAACCAGAAATTAAACAGGGGATAAGAGTTTCAACTAGACTTAACAATTTGACATGATATGATTAGAAAATAATATAAATAAAAGATATGAAAACAATATTGTTTAAAATTTTAAAAAATAATAAATAAATTTAATAAAATTAAAAATTTATGGTTTATATTTTTAAATCAATACAATTATAATATGTAAAATACGTAAGAAAGTCAAATGTAATTTTAGCTATGAATCATTAACCTAATACCGAAGAGGCCACGATTAGACATGTTTTCGTCAAAGCGTGCAATTGTTTCTTATTGAATTGGGAGTGCCCGACGATTTTCGTATAGACGAGATGCATGATTGGGCAACAGCCGACAGTATAAACCGTCAAGTTCTCGGCATACTTCGCCTTGGAGACGAATTCGCTGTAATTTTGTCAAGTTAAAAGAGAAGAAATCATTGGGAGACAGGAAAGTTTATCCTATTGTCTTCTTTGATCCTGATCATCCAAATGTCACATCCATTTGTAACCCACTTAAGCTACACGTGCCTCTTCAACCTCTCTAACGTGGCAAGATCTTGAATGTATCATTTGCAAACGCCTCGCCACCTGTAAAATACCCAAGTTTCATGCAAAAACGTAATCTTTGTCCACCAGCTGTGGCTTTTCCTTTTTAAGTCGCAGAGATTAGTCTCTTATCAAATACATCAACGTCTCCAAGCCCCTTATTCTACTAGCTAGTCCACTACCGTCAAACTCTTTCAAGCTTCTTTCTTTTGCCTTTGCTGTCATCACTTATAATTTTAGGAAATGGTGATTTAAGAGATGTTCATGTCAACCCCATTCAACTCACTGATGAGCATGGGAACCCAGTTCAATTGACTGACGAATATGGTAACCCCGTGCACGTTACCAAGCATCCAGGTATGAGTATGACCCAGACAGGTACGTATGATGGTCAGATGGGATATGAGACTGGTTCTGCGGCTGAGTACCAGCAGCAGCAGCTGCAGCGTCAACAGTATCGGCAGCATCAACAGCAGAAGGATCCACAGAGGCTGCATTACGAGGTTTCCAGCAGAGAAGAGATTCAGCGCTCCAACAACTCCAGCTCTAGCTCGGTAATGAAAAACCGCTTATATATATATATATACATACATATATATATATATATATATATATATAAGGTGTTTGTCTTTAAGTCGTTTTTGTATAAAGTTAACTGCGTTTCTTCTTTGGTTTTGAATTGTTTCTGGGTTTTAGTCCGAGGATGACGAGATGGGTGGTAGAAGGAAGAAGAAAGGGCTGAAGGAGAAAATAAAGGAGAAACTAACAGGTGGAAAGCACAAGGAGGAGGAGCAATCACAGACCATAATAAACGCTGCCCAAACCACCATCACAACCGGCACCACCGCAACGCCGGGGCAGCACCACATTGAGCACGGGAAGAAGAGTATGATGGAGAAGATTAAGGAAAAATTACCTGGTCATCACAGCCACAGAAAATCTGTGTGAATGAAACATTGTTCCTTTAATTTTGATGTTCTGTTTTGTAATAACGTGACTTGAATTATGTGTTCTTGTGAATTTATTATGCGTGTGAAGTGTGATCTGTAATAAATATTTACTTTTTCTATTGTTTCTTTCTTTATAAATGCATTATTATCTAAATCTATTATTTATTCTTTTAATCATTGGTTAATATCGAAAAGGGTCAAAATCAATTAGAAAGCTCTCATGAAAATACTGAAATTATGCATACAGTTGATCTTAAGTCTTGGTTTATTTTATATGTTCCCATATTCCACAGGTGAAAATGCCATTATATGGCTGCCACTGTTATGCTTATGGCCTTTTGGTCTCTGGTTTTGTGGATCTTATTGTTGAGTCCTTTTCCTGAGGCTTGTAAATTTGTTGGTTTTCTGCAACTAACTTAAAATTCTCGGTTCATATCTTTCCTTGTACCAAATATGTAGTTGCAGAAGATAAGCATCAACTTATTCGGCCAGAATAAACATGATAAGTTTATCTAACTAAGATTATAACCTCTCTATCAGCCACATGATTTCCAATATAGCTGTTGTAGAAGGTGCTGGGGATGTTATAACTGACTGGGAAAGTGATCAGTTTTACTGGGTGGCTTCTTCTGATTAGTCTATCATTCGCCCTTTTTAGCCTTTGAAGTAGTAGCAGCTAGGGACAAACTGATGCACCAACAAGCTCTAGATGTGCTGAAGTTCTTTTCAAGAGAAGATGTATATGTCAAAGATATATGATGGAGGCTTGAGCTCCTATATTATTAAATATGGGTTAATGCAATTTTGACAACAAATAAGAGTTCAAGGGCCTAGGTAAGGAGAGAAGTAAAAAAAAGTGGCAACTAAATCTATTGCATATTGAGTTCTTTTTTCTCCTTAATAAAGTTGGGATTGATTTTTTTTATAAATGTGAAAATAAAAAAAGAATTACGGATGCAAAAATTTAATTAAATGTCACATTTTAAAAGTATGATTATGAATTAATTACATTGAACTTTGAGTTCAAAGTTGATATTGATTTTGATCTTTAGTTAATGCCACTTCATATTGCCATATGCATCAGCAATCATATTTTGTGCTGTAGATCATTTATATAAGCAATGGAATCGTAAGCCACTTTCTCATCATGCAAATTACAGTAGCATGTAAATTGTTTGAACTTTCTATGATGTAGGAATCCATTAGTTTTGTCATGTTTATAGCTCACGATCGACTCCACCTTGGACGACTTTGATTTGTGCCTTTTGGAACAAGTTGTTGTACAAGCGCATGATGCAGTCCTATATTTAGTGGCAACTGCTTTGATGTATACAAAGAATTTGGTCTACCTTTAAGAATTTCCTTTTTTTTTTTCCTAAAAGGATATAGTATTTTGAATTTTCAATGACAAGCTTTCAGCATTGGCAAATTGCAGAAGGCAGACTTGGGTTATGACTTGGGTCTGGAAATGTAATTTGGTTGGCTGTTCCCAGAAAGCATAGATAAAACAACAAAGATTAAGTTTACTATTAGTTTTTTTTGGTAAGTTTTAAAATGGTAGCGAAAATAGTATCACCAATATGGGAAGTGGAACATCAGTAATTTATAGTGTGTTTGAATTGAAGGGAGAAGAAAGAAAAGAAAGGAAAGTAAAGAATGTAAAGGAAACATTTTTTTTTTTTTTTTGGGTAAATTTTTAATTTAAAAAAAAAAAGGTAAAAATCAAATAACTTTTAGTTTTTTTTTATAAATTCAATTTTTTTAATATCTCAATTGAAAGAAAAGCTAGAAAAAAGAAAGTTGAAAAATATATTTTTTTATAAAAAAATTATTATGTTTATCTTTTTATTAATACTAAAAACTTAATAAAAAACTTAAACAGATCATAATTATCATGTAATTCTATCAAAATTATTTTTTTCAAGTAAGTTTCACATATCTCTTTTAATATAAATTTTTTTTATAATTTTTGGTGATTTAATTTTGATGAATGATTGAATATGAATAAGTATATTTTTTAAGTTTATGAGATAACGGAATAGTTCAAAATTTATCAATACTTGTTTGTAAAATACCTTCTTATTTCATTTTATTAAAAACTATTGATATAACAGCATAATTGATGTCAGACAAATATTTCATGATTTACATTAATTTAACACTCATTAAAATTATATTATAATTAAATAAAATTTATAATGAATCTTCATTTTTTATTTTTTATTATTCAATAAAAATAAGATTTTTACTATTTTTTATTCAAAAGTTAATATTTTTTTATAATTTTGTTATATTTATCAAACATAATTATTTAATTATAAATCTTTTTCAAACATGCTTATCTAAGTTACTATTAATTGTCATCTTATTAGGATTAGCACTTAAAAGGTTGTCGGTTCAAATGAATTTATTCACGTGATATTTTTTTAATAAGATAAATGTAAATAATAGGATAAGAGAATTTTAAAGATAAATTAGAAATTAAAAAAAAAAAAAAAAAAACAGCGACAGTAACAAAGGCTAAACACATAGTAGTTTTCAGTGTAGTTGAAGCAGAATTTAAAGTCCTACCTTTTCCTTTGCTCTTCTCCTCTCGCCTTCCCGCATATTTTATAAACCCCTCTTCCTTCCAAATGTTCTCCCAATCCCAATCCCATTTCCTTTCTACAACTCCCTCCAAATCCCACCCTTTCTCTCGTGCCTCTTTCTTTACCAGAACAAGTCCCTTCCTCTCATTTCCTTCCTTCAAAAGCCCCCTGATTTCTCTCCAAACAAAACCCATGACTTCCATCTCCCAACTTTCTAACCATGCCGACTATTTATCGTTAAACGACACCCAACTCGACCGTTTTGTCGACGTCGGCAACAAGCTCGCTGATGCCGCCGGCGATGTCATTCGCAACTATTTTCGAAAGAAATTCGAGATTCTTGATAAGGAAGATTTGAGTCCGGTAACAATTGCTGACCAAGCAGCTGAGGAATCTATGGTTTCGATTATATTGGAGAATTTTCCCTCTCATGCAATGTGAGTTATGGGTCTTTGTATTATCGTTTTGGAGTCATAAAGTTTTGTTTTTTTGCTGAGAATTGTCAGAGTTGTAATTGTAGTTTTGGAGAGGAAAAAGGCTGGAGATGTAAAGAGAAATCTACAGATTATGTTTGGGTTTTAGACCCAATTGATGGCACAAAAAGTTTCATAACTGGTATTTTATTTCTTTCTATTTTTCATTTGAAGTATTATTATATTAGTTTCCCTGTTGAATATTTGCCTAAAATAAGTGTGTGCTTCTCAATTTCCAGGAAAGCCTGTGTTCGGTACTCTTATTGCTTTACTGAAGGAAGGTAAACCAGTAAGTTTCACCTATACCTTCTGTAATACTCTGTGGCTTATGCTAATAGTTGTTTAAATTTTGATTTCTGGGAAAAATGATGCATTTTCTCTCCCATGAGGGAGCAATCTTAGCGTGCTTGGCATTGACTGAAGGCCTGATTAGTAATGAAAGTCGTCGTCATCATAACAAAACCAGTTTGCAGCATTGTCCTATGAGCTCACGCAAAGCTGAATCATGTGACTTAAAATATAATGCGTTCGTTGTTTTTAGTTTTACCAGCTGGCTTGAATATCTATACATTTTTGTTGTTTTTTTATAGGTTAACTATTGTCTGTGAGTGTACGATATCTATCAGTTCTTAATTTTGCTTTGGATTGTTTGTGCCTTTCTTGGAGAACATCTTCAAATCTTAAATCATGTTTACTTGTATAAGAGTAGAAGCATATTTTGACCTTCAGTTATGTTGATGAAAACTGCATTACAAGTTCTATTCAATTGACCATTTTTTTAATCTTTTCTATTTTTCTAGATTCTTGGTATAATTGATCAGCCTGTACTTAGAGAAAGATGGATTGGCATAAGTGGAAGGAAAAGTACATTGAATGGACAAGAAGTGGCTACACGAACTTGTATGGAACTGTCACGAGCATATTTGTATGTTTTCCTTGTATTTGACTAGTTCTTCCTTAACAAAGTCATGTCCAACGTTTATATGATAGAGTTTTCTGAAACACCCGAGTCTCTGAGGAGATTCCTTTCTGGCATGTAGTGTGTGGGTGTGTTTGAGGTGATGACTGGGGGATATGGAAAGGTTTGGGTTAGTTTTAACAGCTCTCAAATGCAATGACTAGAATAGTAGAATGTGAAAAGTTGAAGATTTCAGCTATAACTTCAAAAGGTTGGGGAAATTAATTGTAATACAGGAAGTAAACCGAGTGATCTTAATTTAAAGTATATTGGCATTTATTGCTAGAGTAATAAATACATGCATACAAGTCCCGTTTATAGCAGTAAGCTGATATCTGTTTACCTTCTTTTTCCTCAAGTTTTAACCTTTTCTTTATTTGTTTAGGTACACAACAAGTCCACATCTGTTCAATGGAGATGCTGAAGAGGCATTTGCCCGAGTTAGAGATAAGGTAATGAATTTCTATTTCATGTGGATTGGGTAATGTCTTGTGCAAATTTACCCTTTAGTTGATATAAGATAAATCACAAAATGACTCATATCCCATTACATATTTATTTGATGCTTATCCTGTCATGCGTTAAAGACCTATGGATTTTGTCCTCATATGCATCAAAAAGTTGAAAATATTTAACATAATCAAGGGGCAAAGCGTAGTTAATTAAGAATGAAATCTAATACTATACAAAATCAGAGGCTTTGAAGAATCAGGTTTGGCTTGATTTTCAATGTTCAATTACCACAGAATTGAGGATACCAACTTCCTTCTATTTGTAAATCATTCTGTAATGTTGCATGTTAACCTATAAAAGTTGTTTTATGAATGCTCGGTCTTGGATGTTTTAGTGACTCCTGTATTTCCATACTCTTTATCAATATTGATCTGATTTTTTTTTTTTTTTTGGATCAGATAGGCTTGTTTGTCCTAGTCCTCAGTTTGTTTTCTTTTGACTTCTCTCATTTCAACAGGTCAAAGTTCCATTATATGGCTGTGACTGCTACGCTTATGCCCTCTTGGCTTCTGGTTATGTGGATCTTGTCATTGAGTCTGGTCTTCGGGTATGCATTTCTTATTCTGTAAAGATAAGGGACTGCCATTTGCAATCTAATTGTGGATGGCTTGTTTTGTCGACATGAGGAGCATACTAGTAATTACTATGCTATGTTTTTCTAATTACGATGGTAACCTCTTTTTCAGCCATACGATTTCCTTGCACTTATACCTGTTATAGAGGGTGCTGGGGGTGTTATAACTGACTGGAATGGGCATCAGCTTGACTGGAAAGCTTCTTCAGATTCACGCCCAACAAGTATGCCCAAGCTCTCGAATTTTTTTTTTGTTTAATGCAAGTCAAGTCTTGAATCAAGTAGTTAATTTTAAATCTAACATTTTCCAACTTTTGGCTGATATAGTTTTTTGCTCATCTTCTAGGCTTTAATGTAGTGGCAGCCGGAGACAAACAGATTCACCAACAAGCTTTAGATGTCCTGCAATGGCGTTGAAGATATTTTATGCGTTTAACTCTTAACTTCCATACAGATGGTAAATTTCTTGAGCTCCTCTGTTTGAGTTCTGGTATCATTTTAAGAACAACTGGCTCAAGAAACCAACCGATGAGATGTATTGATGAAGCTGGTGAATAAAAATAATTGAGATTCCTATGTTGTACACCAGGAAAATCTTTATTTATTGGATATTAAAATTTTGTTTTTCTAGATGCGTCAGTGCAAGATTACTATGAATCCAAAGATAAAGAATGGCAATAAGACCAGCTGTGACAGTTTTGCCTTTATCATCATTGGCCCCCAAAGAAAAATAATTCGTTGGCTTTCCATTGTCTTCTCGTTAATGGAACGCATAGAAAATTAATTTACATGTGCCGGGCTCCTGAGGGTAATCTTGAAAGAACAAGAGATGAAAGAGAGTGGTTAGATACTAAGACAGAGAGTGTTTTCTATATTTGCATTCTGAACGTGTAAGTTAGAGATTAAAACGAGAAAGGTTAGAGAAAAGTAAAAGGTTTGGACAAGATGAAATCTGGAATGATAATACTTAAATATTCATATTTAAATATAAGAGATAGGAGATCAATAAGAGATAATAATAATATAATCGAATTGATGTGGCATTGGATGTATTAAGTTGATTTGATATGTTAGATTAGCTCAAATATTTGAAATGCTTTTTCTGTTAAGAAAAAAAACATTATAATATCTTTTTTATTACTAAATACTTTTAACAAAATTTTTTAATTTTGAAAATATATTTAAAATTAAAATTTTAATTAGATTTCATTATATAATTTATTGAAAGTGTATAATATTCAGTACCTTAAATATAAATCCAACTATTTTCAAATTATTTTGATTTAAAGGATATCTTTCAAATTTAACACCAGTCACTACGCATGAAACTGCAAGTTTGCTGCCTGTCCATATTCTAGGCATGAAAAACTTTCCATGTGTCTGAATAAATTAATCAAAGTTATTTCTTGCAGGAAAGCAGCGACAGAATCCGACCTTTTTTCTGGGAATAACTTGACTCCCCAATTATTGCTGCTCTCAGTCTCATTATTACTAGTACGTTGTTAGAAAAACAAGCTTATTCTTCATGCATTTTATGACTAAATGTCAGTGTCGACAATGAGAAGATTTTAAAAATAAAAAAAAAACAAAATTTTTGTGTATTTATTTTTTTAATTTATAAAAATTCATGTTTGCCCTAATGTTGTCATGCCCATTTTCAAATATTTATTTGGACGTGCTTGGAGTTAAGTTGATGCCAGTCATGGCACCTCACGCCCTGAAGAAAATAAGCTGTAACAGTACTGTTTGACGACATTTTATGCTAGCAGTCGGAAAATTCTTTGCTTGGAGAGAATTTGGGTGTCTAAAAATGGGTATATATATTTATTACAAGCATTTTCAATTTCTAAAAAAGCCAAGAGTTCATCGCAGCTTGCCTTTAAAGCTCTAAATTAGCATTCTTGAAAAGCTTTCTCTGCCTCAAGCCTTCAAGGGAATGAGGAAATTTGGTTGGCAATTGACCATGTCCAAAGCTTGTAAACCTTTACTTTGTTGGCAGTTGCTAAAAATGGAGGCAGGAGCAACAAATCCTCAACAACAGGAAAGATCTTTCTCCGCAAACATTGCCTCATAATTTGGGAATGCAAAGTCCAATTCTTCTGCCAATTCCTTTCCTCCATGATATTCAAGAAAATAAGTAACAAACCCACGTTTCAGATATAACACCATTACCTTCTTTCTTCAAAGATCCTTTGTTGGTTCATTTCTTAACATCCCTCTGATCCAGGAGGGATGGAGATAGAAAAGAAACCAAAAACACAGCAAACCAACCTTTTTGTATCTTCTTTTTTGTCATCGTCGCCATCATCTTCATCGATGGCTATCCTCCTGCTGCTCTTCTACACCTTCATCTCTTGCCCCACTATCTTTGCCTTGCCCAGCACCTTCGCTCCCGAGGATAACTTTCTAATTGATTGTGGTGCCAACTCTCCACCCACACTCCCTGATGGAAGAGTCTTCAAAACTGACCAACAAGCCTCTGAGTTCTTGAAAACCAAGGAAGATGGTCAAGTATCTGTCGCCTCCGCTGATGTTCCTTCACCCTTATATCTAACTGCGAGAGTTTTTGCCCAAGAAGCCGCTTATACATTCCAGTTAAAACGACCTGGTTTTCATTGGGTGCGTCTCTATTTCTTTGCAATAAAAGATAACCAGTTTGATCTTCAACAAGCAACATTCTCTGTCTCTGCAAATCAGTATGTTCTCCTTCACAACTTCAAGGTTAACAATGGCACTATACCTATGCTCAAGGAGTACCTTCTTAACATGAATGATCCTACATTTACCCTCAAGTTTTCTCCTATGAAGAATTCAGCTGCTTTTATAAGTGCCATTGAGGTTGTTTCAGCACCGGATAGCTTGATCGCCGATGAAGGCTCTTCCCTTTTCCCTGTAAACAACTTTCCTGGTTTGTCCAAGTATGGTTACCACGTTGTGTACAGGCTTAACATGGGTGGACCTGTGATCACCTCAAAGAATGATACGTTAGGACGGACTTGGATACCTGACACTGACTATCTTCGCGACAAAAAATTGGCTAAGAGTGTCTCTGCTGACACAACTTCTATCAAATACCCTGAGACTTTGACCCCACTGATTGCACCAGCAACGGTTTATTCATCTCTTATTCAGATGGCTGATGCAAAAACAGTGAAACCAAACTTCAATGTGACATGGCAGTTAGAAGTGGATACAGCATTTGATTACATGCTTCGGTTGCATTTCTGTGACATTGTTAGCAAGGCACTGAATGACCTCTATTTCAATGTATACATTAATGGTAAAATGGCCATTTCGGGATTGGACTTGTCGAGTCTAACTGGTGGGTTGGCTGTTCCATACTACAAAGATATTGTGGTGAATGCTTCCCTCTTCAGCGATGGACTAACTGTTCAGATTGGTCCATTGAATCAGGATACGGGTTTGACTAATGCAATTCTTAATGGCTTGGAGGTCTTGAAAATGAGCAACTCGGTTGATAGTTTGGATGGGGAATTTGGTGTTGATGGAAGGGTGGGCATAGCCAACAAGGGGGCCGTGGCTGCAGTCGGTTTTGCCATGATGTTTGGTGCCTTTGTGGGTCTTGGTGCAATGGTTATTAAATGGAAGAGGAGACCCCAAGATTGGCAAAAGAGGAATAGCTTTTCTTCTTGGCTGCTCCCACTCCATGCTGGAGACTCTAGCTTCTTGAGCAAGTCCTCTGGCAAGAGCAACTTTTACTCGTCGACCCTAGGCTTAGGCCGTTATTTCTCTCTGGCAGAGTTGCAAGAAGCAACCAAAAACTTTGATCCAAGTGCTATAATTGGTGTTGGTGGATTTGGCAATGTTTATATAGGCACGATTGATGATGGGACCAAAGTTGCTGTCAAGAGAGGGAACCCACAATCTGAACAAGGTATCACAGAGTTCCAGACAGAAATCCAGATGTTGTCAAAACTAAGGCATAGGCACTTGGTGTCACTGATTGGTTACTGTGATGAAAACAATGAAATGATCCTGGTTTATGAGTACATGTCCAATGGACCTTTCAGAGATCACTTGTATGGAAAAGACTTGCCACCATTATCATGGAAGCAAAGGCTCGAGATCTGTATTGGAGCTGCTCGTGGACTTCACTACCTTCATACTGGTACTGCACAAGGGATTATTCACCGCGATGTTAAGACCACCAATATTTTGCTTGATGATGCCTTTGTTGCCAAAGTTGCTGATTTTGGGCTGTCAAAAGACACACCTATGGGGCAGAATCATGTTAGCACTGCAGTGAAAGGCAGCTTTGGGTACTTGGACCCTGAGTACTTCAGGAGGCAGCAATTGACAGAAAAATCAGATGTCTACTCATTTGGGGTGGTTCTGCTCGAAACCTTGTGTTCAAGGCCTGCCATTAACCCACAATTGCCGAGAGAGCAGGTTAACTTGGCTGAATGGGCAATGCAATGGAAGAGGAAGGGATTGCTTGAAAAGATTATTGATCCTCATCTTTTGGGGACCATCAATCCTGAATCAATGAATAAGTTTGCAGAGGCTGCAGAGAAGTGCTTGTTAGAATATGGTGTTGATAGACCTTCAATGGGAGATGTTTTGTGGAACTTGGAGTATGCCTTGCAGCTGCAAGAAGCATTCTCAGAGGGAAAATCCGAGGATGAGACCAAGTCATCTAACACTGCCGCTGCCCCCCCTTCTATTGTGGTTCCATCCAGCAGTCCTCCTTCTGATATCAACTGTCCAGTTTCTCATCCAGAAGACAATAAGGGTCCAGCTGAAGTTCAGGTCATTGGTGAACACTCAGGAACTGCAATGTTTGCACAATTTCAAGGGCTGAGTGGTAGGTAAATACCATTGCTTGATAAGTGAGATATAATTCTACCATTTCAGAAGGCCTTGGGCAGGCATTTTTTTCCTCTCAGAAAAAAGGTGCACTTCTCTATGTAACAACTATTTCATCTAAACTCTCTCCGGCTCACTTCTCTTTCCTTCATTCTTGTGTTGGGTATTCAATTTCATTTTCAAAAGTATACCAAATCATACATTATGATTAATGTACTGTTGTCCATTGATATATGCATACAGTCCATTAATCTTATGTGTCAATTAATTACTATCATATGAAAGAATAGCAGTAAGCAATTTTGTATATTGTTATAGCACAGTGGTGTAAGTTTTCAAATTCAGTTCACCAACAATTTCAATAAGAATCGGTTCCAGCTGCAATTGTGTCAATATTTACTTGTATGAGACCATATAGATATGCCAATTGCAGGTAGCAATTTTAACATTTCACCTGCACTGCCGAAGCTCGAACAAACAAGTCTATTTTCTAACGTCCAAAAGAATCCTTTGTTTTTACTTCTTGGCGGGTGTGATTCTGTCTAAGCATTAAGTTTGTTCAGATTAATAAGAAGTTGACATTGAAACATAAACTGCTGTGAAATCAGACATCGATACATTTGAGACTAAGAGGATTGGATGATCATATTCATATCAAGCATTCCTTCTAAAGCTACCAAGTGGTATATAATTGTAAAAAATAACATTAATATTCATTTACTTGGCATATATGTGGAAATCTTCACTTCTGCAATCACATTTAACTACTTGACATAGCTGCATTAGGTAACCATACCTTCAACATCCATAGGACCGGACTTTTGCTGCATTTGAAGCAACTTAATCATCATTGTCAAAATTCGCAATTTATACAAGTTTACGGTAGTGTCATGAATCAAAACAGAGATAACAAGACAGATAGAGAGTGGTTCCTCCAGTTTAAAATGCAGGATTGAACTACTTGACATAGCTGCATTAGGTAACCATACCTTCAATATCCATATGACCGGACTTTTGCTGCATTTGAAGCAACTTAATCATCATTGTCAAGATTCGGAATTTATACAAGTTTACGGTAGTGTCATGAATCAAAACCGAGATAACAGAACAGATAGAGTGGTTCCTCCAGTTTAAAATGCCGGATTGAGATGATTATGGCTAATGACACCAAAAGTTTCTGAGCATTTAGTATATTAATCCTCTGCATAAATTGCTGAAAACTAATAATTCAGAAATCTCCTCCAACATTGTTTGCTTTGTGATTAGTATAGGATGGAAGGGAGAAAGAAAAAAAAAAAAACATAAGCTATGGCCAAAAAGGAGATGGATTCTATTTTTAGGTAATGGGCATGTTTCTTTATCACCATGCCTGATCAGACCTTCAGAATTGGACATGATCAAAAGCTTCTAGTGAAGTAGGAAACTAAATATATTAAGGATCCAAAATGAAATTTCAGTTCTTTAACTTTTAACTTTGAATTATTTTTTGCATGAAATTATTTCCTTTTATTCAAAAATCGTCAGCCACAAACAGGTTCAACACTAGGTATTTGAGACAAACAAATTGCACTATAACATTCATTCTCCACCATCACCACCAATGGCATGGGTAACCTTAATTATCAACCACCATTAAATTAGCGAAAGCTAATAGGCAGTATAAAAGAATGGGTGGAAGGTGAGAGATGCCTTTAACCTTTTGAATGAACAAGAGGGAGTTTAAATGCAAAGCAATCCATATTTGTAGAGAAACCTAAAAATTTCTACCCCGTGACGTGTGTGTGTGTGAGCTCTTATAACATCCCTCCATAACTATTTCCCATACAGAAACTTCCATATGAATCCCCAGCAATTATTCTCTTTTTTCATATTCGATAATGGAGAATCAAAGTGAAATGAGGGCTTTTGACATGGGAGCCTTGAGGAGCAACCTTCCCCAAAAGTAAGGGTTTGATTCATTCGTGGCTAACCATGTTCTTTTATCTTTTTGTTTGATGATTCATTCAACATAATGGATACTGTTTGTCCTCCAGCAGGAGAGGGTTGTCAAGCTATTACTCAGGAAAAGCTAGATCATTCGCGTGCATTGCAGATGTTCATTGCGTCGAGGATCTCAAGAAACATCCCGATGCTGAGAAAAGGAGAAGAAATATTCGAAGATGAAGGAGATGCAGCATGATACACCTTATCCATGTCGAAAAGTATTCAGTTGCACTCATTGTGCTTCACCCTGCATTGGTGTAAATCTATTAATCAAAAGTCGCTGCTATTATGATTTGCATTATATCAGCAGAATGTAAGAATTGCAGATTTGATTACAAAAACTGTGTGATGGTAATAATTAAGATTACTTTTCTTGTTGCTACTCTTTTAAGCCACATAAAGGGAATGTTCTAATCAAGGCTCAGGCAAAATACTACTCTGTCCTAACACAACAATTATTGCCTGGCCTCTAAAAGAATCACCATTTAACCTAAAGATACAAAGTCAGAGGTGAGATGCTGTCCACAACCTATTACAACCTTTTCTTCTTAGTGAGTGATTCCCAATCATCAGATATGATGAGTTCATCATCCTCATCGTCAACGTCAAGCTTTTCGATTTGATTGTGATTTTTTCTTTCATCAGAAAGGCCTGAATGATCTGGAGTGGTGCCTTTGGAAACCTCAAACAGTTTTCTTTTCCTCCCAGTAGCATTTTCGGTCCCCACTGAAATTTCTTGAATTTCAACATCTTTCTCACCCTCCAGAATCTCCTCCGCTGGCAAAGCATTGGATGTACTTTCACCGTTTCCAACAGCCTTACTATTGTCCTTATCCACAGGAGCTTCAACCCATCCAGAGAGAAGCATTCCATCAGGTTCCTTCTCCTCGTCAAATTCTTCCCTGAGAGATTAAAAAGTAAATTATTTAAGTTGCTCTTCATATTTGAGGGCAAATGTCCCCAATGCAGGATAACAAGTGATGCAAATTCAATTGACACTACAAGCATCATGTATAACATTTACAAGTCCACCTTATTACAACCACAGAAAAGCAAATTAGAGGAGGCATTCAGAAATAAATGAAGTACATATCAAGCCCCAACTTTGAGTCTGCTCTTACTCATTGTGATTTAATAAGAAGATGTCTTAGTCTTTTTTTTTAGGTTGGAAGAAGAAGAAGATGTCTAGTCTAATCATATAATTAATGTCAAGAATCAGCTGAGATAAAAAAAATAAAAATAAAAAAAAACCCAAGTAACAAACCTTATTCATCGTCATCTGTGCACACAAGTACATCAAAGAACAAGACAGGCAAAAAAGAGAAATTAATTTGATGAAGCCAGTCTAACGTTCATCACATAAAGAGCTTTCCAGGGACATAACAAAAGGATTTTTTAGATCATGATTATCAAGGTAAAGACAAACCTATGCTTGATATTGATATTGCATGAGAACTCCTGTTGAAGATCCTCTATAGTAAGCACAGTCCCGCTAGTTACTTGAGAAGGCAGCTCAGATAAGGTCTGTTTAAGAGAAATAAATCACAATTATCGCACTTTCTTTTGTGCCAAACAAGACGCATGATTTCAAGACTTAACCCACAAGTAATTAATTGTACAAAGGCAAATAAATTTATTTTAAAAGCAAGGAAAGGGAGAAGAATTATACTTTCTGAAGGTTTGCAGCATAAATTGCTACCATATCCTCTTCAAGATCTTCACCAACTTCATAAAGAATACTTGCCCCTTGCATAATTAGTGGAAAGTTCATGCCAAGTTTGGCTTTAACAATCTTTTCAACAAAATCCCACAACTTAGAACGATGGGTATTAACCTCAAGCAATAGTGGTGTCTGTTTCAAGATATTACACATGAGCAAGTTTGATTTGAAACATTTACAAAGGAATTCAGACATGCCAATTAGATATACCTGTGAACAAACATAGCAAGACTTGTTAGGTTCATAGGGTTCCACAGGCATTAGAAGCATCTTTTTTGAAGGATGTTCTAGACAATATGTCATCCTGCATAGGCATCCAAATCAGATTAGATCTGACAAACAGTATAATTATCATTAAAAGCAATTTGCATTCATGAAGCATGGAGATGAGAAGTAAAATTCCAACAAAGACAACGACAACTATATGTACTAACATGAACACAATAACATATGCTCGGTACTTAAGACAAAACTGAACTACACAATTACTTTGTATTTAAATATCCAAAAATAATCAAAAGAAAACAAATTCAATAAACAAAAAGGAAACTGAACTAAACCTGTAATCGTTGCTATCCTTTTTTAAAACCTTAATTGCTTCAATCACAATCAACCCAGCTATGATAGCATTTGTTGTTGCAACAGCATGCACGATATTACCAGCAATACCTTTGGCTTCAAAAAGACTATGTAAAGGAATCTCAAAAGAAGAAGCCCGAATATTTGCAGCAGCAGTAACAAATTCCACCGCCAATTGATCATCTTTATCAAAACTCAGATTCCCTATCTCCTGTCAAAAGGTAAAACAAATCAGTCTAACTAGGTAGGAAGTGATGATCAATCAGTTTTTCAGAAGCATGAGATCAACATTGACCTTTTCTCTCTTCAAGAAAAATAATCTCAAAGCCTCGAGGAACACTCTTGAATTTTCTGCGAGGCTCCAAACATCCTGAGGATTCTTCAAGCCCAGAGATGACATAGCAGAGACATCATCAGTGGCACAACCTTTTTCCATGTTCCCATTCTCGTTAGTTAGTTTCTTGGGCAGGACATCATTACTATATATAGGCTTTGGTTTGTTACGGTTTTTCCACGTTTCTTCATTAGATAGAGCCACTTCTATGTTATGACCAAATACATGATCATATATTCTTCTTCCATATTGCTCGATATCTTCATCTTGTCTACATTCAAATGCATCTTCTGAATGTTCTGAAGAGTTTGCAGCATCACTAGAACGAACATTCAAATCATTTTCCTGATTCTTGTCCCCAAATAACTTTGCAAAAAGCAGGTCCTTTGCCCACACAATACAATGAACAAACTACAATTCAAACATTATGATTAGAACTTGCGGCATAGCAGTTTCTTGCAACAACAAAGAGATTTAATCATCATAATTCTAGTGACTAATGGTTACTCAAAGCCAATAGAAGCAAATGAACTCCCACCCTACCCCATCCAAACAGAAATCTCTCAGCTCAATCAATAATTACCTTTGACGGAGTGCTTGTAATTGTACAGACAGGATAAGTCTTTGGGGCAGGTTTTGGCTGACATTCATAACACTCTGTTTTTCCCATCAAATGTACAGTCACCTGCGTCATCCAGAAAAGCAATAACATAAGAGTAATACTGAAGCTGAAAAAAAACAGAGTAACACTGCAAACATAATTTTATAGTGTGTGTGATAGATAGAAAAGAGTTGATAAGCAAAGGAAACACAATAGTTTAAGTTTCGAAAGTCAAATAAACAACAAATTCATGAGTTAAACATAGGCAAGAATTCTAAGAAACCTTAACCTTCAGAAACTAATGTGATCATAGAATTAATGTACTAAAGAAGTGCAGAGAGAAAGAGAAGCAAATACATGCACATGTTAAACAAGAAGTAAAGGAGCACTTCACTTTTAGTACCGGACCTATTTGCTAAAACATTTTATGAAGCCTTTAATAGCACTTACCAAGTGAAACAAGTTCCATCCAGACAGGAACTTAAGATGCTACGTATATATAGGATAGAACAGGTCACCTATTCTAGGAGTGAGTTCCTTCAATAAGTAATTATTTGCATAAAATAGCAGAACTTCAGATTATTGGTTATACAACATGTAAGATCAAAACAAATTGTGTGGTTTCGTACTTGCACAAACTAAAGTTATTAGATGAAGCATGAAAATGAGCAATCCACACATGCAACCTAGTTACAAGATAAGAATCCAAAGATTATAGCTAAAAGACGGTAAAAACCTAAATTACCTGTCCCAGGAACCCAGTGGTCCCACTTTCAACCAATGGGACATCAGCTGCCAAGCAAAGACGGTTTACATGGCGCCTTGCATCTAAGTTATCTAGCCCATTTAGAACAACATCAAACTCTTTAAAGAAATTCACATTGAAGTGAGACTCCTTAACATTTGCATGGTATGGTGTAATGCTGATGTTGGGCCTGAATCTTAAGACTGCATCTCGAGCAACCTGATAAAAGCATAGATGAAATACAAATCATCAACTTATAATTGCCAATGCAAGTTAACATGGAAAAATGCTTGTAGATGTAATTACCTTAGCCTTAGACTGCCCAACATGGGATTGTCGAAACAAAAATTGTCTATTCAGGTTGCTGACTTCTATAGTGTCCATGTCAATCTACAAGCACATGAATGGAATAGCAAGAATAAATAATTTCCAGAATAATATACCGGTTATTGGAGCCAATAAATTACTTGCACAAGAACCAAAAAAACAATACATCAGTTCAAACCCACATAATCAACTTGACCTCACAACACATAGTGAATAACATATTTTAATAATAGTAAATAACAAATGAAACAAACCATTTTACAGCCATCAAATTTCCAAGGAAAAATATGACACCCAGGTACCATCCTTAGCACCACTACCACCTATAGGATTGATAGCCCCTTTCACTGATAACTAACACCCAACCTATCAATACCTTATTATCAGCACTTAACACCATCTTAGAACTATGCATCTAACTTTTGTATCATCATAAACAACCCGATTCCTAGACAACTCTAACTAATCAGTAATCACTCCACTGTAAAACCAATTGTTAGCATTACTACCAATCAAGCCAACCTAAGGGAAACATCATACTACCACCATTGACATTTACCACCACTCTAAACTTGCACTATCTCCCCAGACCACTGCCATTTTTACAATATGCTTTACCAGCTTGGTGACCTATATGCTGCTACAAATTTCACTGTCATATAACATGCACCAAAGCACCGTAGGTTCCACCTTGAGCTCCACTATCACCATTAACAATCAAATGCATAGAAAACACCAGAATCTATCTGATTTTGCTAATTCCTCCCAAAACATGCATCCATAAATCTATGGTAAAAGAACTAAACATCTAGGACTCATCACAGTTATCACCCACAGCGACCGCAAAAAATCACTTGCCAACATTTTATAATCAGTATTTCACTAATTATTGTCACATTATAGACATAGAATCAACTAATCCCTCATGAATTTTTGTAAAAACTAATTTCTGCCGTATCAAACATAATTAATCACCCTAATTCTAAAAAACAACCGGAAAAAAAAAAAAAAGGTTTTAAGGTGAACACAAAATTACACAATTAGACTGTTTAAACCCCAGCACCAACTCCAGTTAGACAAATAATTTAAAACCAAAACAAAAGAAAAGTATAACCCAGAAGGAAAAAAAAAAAAAACTCTACTCGTCACTAAACAATGGGCAAAGTAAAAACTGGGGAAAAAAAATAAAACCCATTTTTAGGAATTTAAAAGCAAAGGGTAATTAACTTACCACATGAATATCTTGAAACCCAGAAAGAGCAAGCGTCTTGAGAAGCTCACAACCAATCCCTCCTGCCCCTACCATAAGCACTTTCGCCCCCTACCATTAAAAATAAAAGGAGTTAAATTATACTTAAACTAAATGCTTATTTTTGCTTTGGTTTTAGGGATATTTATTTCGTACCTTAATGGCGGATAACTGTTCTTGAGATATCATTCCGGAAGTCAAGTCAGAGAGAAAGCTAGAAGAAGAACATGAACAGAGAAGCAAAGAAGACTGAAATAGAAAACCTTTTTTTTTTCATTTTGCTGGTTTTAGAGATACAGAGTGAGAGAGGGGCCGTTGTGGGGTTTGAGGGAATCGAACATGGGACGTGAAACAACAGTTAAGGGAATCTACATGGCCATGATTAGGAAAGCGCGGCTAAAGGATCGACAAAAATATATTAAAAAAAAAAGACAAAATCAATTGAAAATTAGAAAATAAAATAAAATAAATAAAAACATAAAACGCTCCTTGAGCCCGAAGAGATTTTCAAGTGGCCGGACGAAATGAGCTCATCAGTGATTTCGGCGGTTTTTGGATATACTGCTTAGTTTATCCCTATTAGGAACAGTAGATAACGTCGGCGTTTGGATGTGGGTATCTAATTATCTTGTTTCGGGTTTTATCACTTTATGCCTTCAATTATTAGGAGAGTAGGCTGTGTTTGGCGGTCTCATCGCTTTAATAGTACAAATTTCAAGCTCTATCATTTGATAAAATATTACAGGAGCTTCGATTTATATCTTATTTTTTATTTTTCATTTTTTAAAAAATATTTTTAAATAAATTACTTAATTATTTTTATTATATTCCTTTTACTTTTAAATTTTCGTATTTGTAAATCTAAAAATTTTTGAATTTACAAATTTAAAACTTCTTAAAATTTTTCAAATTTACATATTCAAAAATTTAAAATTTTTTGTAAAATATTTTTTCTCAACTAATTTTTTTTTCAAACTTAAATATAACTTTTTTTAATTTATTACATATAAAATTTCAATATCTGAATTCTCATATCTAATAAATTATATAATTTACCAAAAATACATATCCAATAAAAAATATAATTTATCAAAAAAACATATTTGAAAACTTTAAAATTGAAATGAGAAGGATAATTAAATAATTTTTTTATTTTGAAAAAAAAAATTAGATGTGCTAAAATTATATTATTTTGTTTAATTCCTAAAATGAAGATAGTCAAATGATTCAAATGTAAATGTGATACTGACGAGGAAACTATTAACAATGCAGAACACGATCCAAATCATTGGGTTCACCTGGATAGAGCAACAGGCAGATTCCCACCTTTATTGCAAATCAGGAGTGTATTTGAAGCTGCAACTAATTGTACATTTTCCTTCACATATTAAACAAAAATTATGTATTATTTACAAATATGCTCACCCTCCAATCAATTTCTTGATATATTACAACTGTGTTTTATACTTGTTCATATTCAGAGGACTAATCTTTCCAATACCTTGGCAAGCACATTTCATGCTACAAAATCATGAAACAAATGCGAGGAACTGAACCTGAGGTGCCGGTTGACAGCATCTATGCATTCAAAATCTGCAGTTTCGGCTCCTACAGAAGATGCTGCAGGATTGTATATGTCATCCCCTCTCAATGGAACAAAATTTTGATGGCCTCCAACTGACATGGGTATGTTACCACCCTCAAAATGTTGCAATCCTAAGGTGAGAGAGACACCGCTTCCACTTCCAAACCTTCTCGACTCTGACATGTGGTAAGCAGCAGCAGCAGCTGCCATAAACCGATCGCTACTGCCATCAGAATGAGCAATTGCCTCAGGGAAGAGATTAGAGTCATCAACATTAGGCCTCTGCTCCTCTCTTAACCTCAGTAATCCATATTCAATTTCAGCTTCTCCACGTGTGACATTTTGGAAACCAACTCCAGTAGTTGATCCTGCCATATTTACATCGGTAACATGGTCAGATTTGGAATCCATCAACTGTCCATTGCTACATCTCTCTGTGGCTGATGAACTCCCACTTTGCGGCAGACCTTCATCTCTGTCCTCAGAGGTCCTTGTATCACCTTTTGTTGCTTTGACTGCATTTTCAGATGAAGAATTAGAGTCCATTTCTACATCTGCAAATTCTTCCTTGTACATCTCTTCAACCATAGGCTTCCAGAGACGCACCCGTGCATTTATAAACCAATTGGAAACCTGAGCAGATGCAAATATATCATCAAGGCAACAATAATGATTACTGAAACATGCAGAAATGAAGTCATGATTTAAGGATATAGTCTAAAGAGATGCTGGCACATATTGACCGATATTAAAAACTCAAACAGTACAACAAGATACGCAACAAGAATTTGTTGTATTATAGCCATTAGTAACTTGGAAATAAAGTGTGCTGCGGGTTTAAGAGTATACAGAATTACTACTGCTATTCAGGTGAGGCAAACAAGTCTAGAATAAATACTAGTGGCTATACCTTCATTTGGCAGAATTAAAGCCCATGTTTTGTAAATGAGTTTGCTTTATCCATACTCCTTAAAACCTATTTCTAGCATATATCCAGCATTTTTAGCCACTGCTTCCACCACTGATTTTAACCTTAATAACACTTTCCCAGCCAAGTTTCTAGTGAACATTCCTTACAGCAAACAATTTGCAATAATCCAATTAATCACATCTGCTTCATCATATGGTAGTAAGATTATTAGTTTGTGATTACCTGACTTCTAGTCAAGCCTGTTTGTCTTGCTAGCACGGTCTTATCAGAATCCTTTGGGTAGCTGGAGGACAACAAAAATACCAAATAAGTACAATCGAGGCGTTGAAATCTTTTTGAAAGAGTAAGATTTGGGAAATCTGTAAGGAGGGAGTATTATGTCAAACTTACGGATGAAGAAAATGCTCAAACAGCCAAGCACGAAGTATTGAAACAGAGTTTTCAGGCAGCCCTCTCTGAGGCCTCCATGCATGTTGTTGTATGATACCAAGCCGCTGAAGAGTTTTCTGTTGCCTCAGCTGCCGATCCACATAACGCAGACGAGTAATTCCTACTCCTTTACTGTTTTCTGAAGTATCCTGCTCCCCAAGACTTTTATGTGTTGCCCGAATTTGACCATTAATTGCATCACGCAAGCATCGGAAGTGGTGGGATATAGTCTGTAGCGCAAGTGCTGTGTAAGGCCTAGCAGCTCCAAACCCTGCTATCACATCAAATGATGACACTACAATTTGCATCTGATGATAATACTGTTTATACCTTCTATCAACCTGCAGCAACGACTATTTAGCATTAGACACAATCAATAATGAAAAGCAATAAAGCAGGGAAGACATAACCAAGAGAATAGGCCTAAAGGCTAAAAGCATTCACCTTCCAAGACCACTTGATCTTTATACATGAATTTGCTTAGAAGACAAGGGAGAGATTTATGTATAGACATTAACACGATGAAGCATGATGCCAAATGAGAATGAGATGCTAATAATTTAATTACATGAACCAATAGACATAACAACATTCATAAAAGAAATTTTCTATGGAAAAGAAGATAGATACCCATGTTATTTTAGTTACACCAATCAACCAAAAAACAGACAAGAACCAAGTTCTACTTATCAAAGCTTCTTTGTGAAGCCAGACTAGCCCCTAGGCCTCCAGCTCCAAGAGTTTTTCTGAAAAGCTTACACAAGATGTAGGAAGCTAAACTGGAGATTTGGTAACAAGTTTAATATGTCTTTCAGCAACTATAACCAATTAAACATCCAAAATATATGCTGGAATTCTCAGTTTGTTAATATCCTTGGGGAAAAGACAAATCTCACCCCAGCCTAACCCAGGGAATAAAAAAGGAGAATGAAACAAGGGATTTTTCTCCCTTGAACCCTGATAAGTTTGATTAAAAGTTTCAGGCTTGTTTTATCTGTCCTAGAGTCCAGAAACCAAGATTCCTTTCAGATGCTGGAAATATATAGCTCACATAAGATGGAGACCTCATGCACATGTGCGTGCATGCACACAAACACACACATTAAGAGAGGGGACGGGAGGTAGAGTTTGAGCACTCTTCAATTAATCTAATTGAAAAAATATTCCAATCTCAACTTTAGAGAATTGCAGTTTTATAAATTCTATGACAAAGTAACAATAAAGTGACTACAACAGAAAACAGCCTGCCATTACACCAAATATGATTCATTTTGCAGTGTAACTGCAAGACAAACGCAAAAGAATGTGTTTACCTCAGCAAGAGAAGGGAAAAAACTACAATCAAGTGATCTGACTCTTACCTCATCTAACATCGACAACAGCTCTGTTAACTTCCTTTGTAGTTCTTGTCTTTCAGGATGTGAAAGCTCTTTTGCAAAGTTATTGGAGGATTCTAGCTGGTTTGAGGGCACATTCTTTGATCCCCCATCATCCTCCTTGGAACTCTTCATCCGGTTATCTTGTAAGCTTTGGTTTTTCTCTCCATCAGGCTGCTTTAGAGCCTTTCGAACATTAACAACTTCATCAAGCAGTTGTTGTGCCACCTTGAGATATTTGGAATTAGGAATAGTTCTTGCGATACTCGACATTCCATACACAGATAAATCCCCGTTATTTGAATCTTGGTTACCTCCAGTAAAACCAGGTGGCAGACATTCAGTATTTCGCGAATGTTCATCTCTGGAAGAGCTATTCCTGCTGCCACCCTCACCCGTCAGTGAAGGATTAGAACTCAAGAACGAATCAAAACCTGAATTGGGATTTCGATAGGGGATAGAAAGCATTTGAATTCCAGAAGGAATTTGGGTACCAAGGCTTAGGGATAATCCTTGACCTTGCAAGTTTTGACCACTCTGAAGAACGCTGGCAGTACCACCCATTGGATGCATAACTAGAATTTCATTTCTATCATCCCTCCAAGCACCAAACTCATGCTCCCCAACTCGTGAGCCACCAAGGTTTGATAAGATTTCTTGCTGCTGTGAAGTTGAATCCGAAGCCTCCGCAGCCTGAATTTCAATGCAGTTATTTTGCTGCTGAGAATTCCCAGCAAACGCATCTGAGTAAGACCCAGAATTCATATACATCATTGTATTACCAGGAAGAACTGGTGCCCCTGGATATGAACCAGGCATCGTTTCTCTTAAATAGATCATTGGAGCTGTATCACTTTGATTATTGGAACTAGAGTAATAAGTAGCCATATTTCTCTTGAACTTGAAACTTTCTCGGTGCCTCGTTCAAATCAGATTACATAGTCACGCTATGAACTGAAAATAGGCAATTGAAACGACTTCCATTATAAACAATTTTGAGCGTATGTAGAAAAATCTTATATGCACATCTTACTCTCACCAAATTATATAATCTCAAAAGAAATAATACAGAATAGAATATTTCATACTACCATATAATTGTTATCAGAGTTTGTAAAAGGCGGAGGCTAAGCTGCTTGACAAACTATTATCAGTTTCTAACTTTCTATTATAAATAAAAGCTTTAGCAGTGAAGGAGTTCAAAACTGCAATGGTCTGCAGCAAAAAACACTAAAATCTTTAAACAAAAGAGCATCGAAGAACCAAACTTACATAGAGTATTCTCTATACATGAGCCCGTCATATTTTCTGAGATATGGAATTTTATATAGAGGCAACAACTGTGAGAAATCTTCGAGCACTTAAAGCAAAATCCCATAAACATTCAAAATCAAAACTCAAACCGGGGGAAGAATGATCAAAAAGATAACTAAGGTGAGAGTCATCAATTATTTATCAAACAGCCAAGAAGGAAAAAAGAATGGAACAAAAAAAGAGCCAAAGAAATAAGACAAACACAAAATCTGTAAATATCAATAAGTATCTTTCTTATGAATATATCTTGTTCAGGCACAAAAGAGAAAAGAGAAAGGTAGTGGGAAGAGAAACTTAGAAGAAAGAGAACAAAAAAAAATTAAAGACAATATCTACAGGTCTTTGGGTTAAAGTCAGAAATTATGTACATATGAATAAAAAAATACCTCGAAGCCAGTAACAGTTGTGGGAGTTTTGGGGAACAGCAAATCTCAAAGACACCACCTGATCCGCTGGTGATAACAAAATCCTTAAGAAACCAAACACTTTGTGATCCCAAGAACCCAGAACAACAACAGCCCAACTCTTCACTTTTCATCAAAATTTTTGCACATACCACAATAAAAATACAAAACAAAACAAACCCAAACTTTAGAAAAGAAAAAAAAATTATTTTCAGTTAGTTGCTCCTAATAAAAGGTAATGATAATAATAATTTAAACCCAAATAAGAGACAGACAGAAGAAGAGAAGAGAAAAAGCAATCAATGAAGGAATTATATCACTTATTTTGCTCCTGTTTTACTAATCATAAATTCTCTATCCATCATTTCCATGAAACCCACGTGAAAGATTCACACACAAACTTGAACCCTCTACCTCTTTCTCTTCTAAACTATTTATCTCTTTTTGGAGATAAAAAGAGAAAAAAAAAAAAAAACTTTTTGCTTTTTGATGTTCTTACTTTGAAACCCAGTTGTAGAGGTTGGTACTACTTGACCTCCTTCTCTTACCTCCCCTCTCTTTTTTTGCTTCTTCTTTTAAACTTTCTTCCACTACTGCTTTCTTATTCTTCTTCTGTTCGTCTTCTTCTTTGCCTGTTGTTGAGGATATGTTTGGTTAAGGAGTTCTATCTTTAACAACCAGTTGGTGGACCTAAACCCTCCCTTAAACCTCCTCTTTCATCACCATCTCTCCCTTTCTCTCTCAATCCCCTTTGCTGTCTTTCTCATCTTTCAGCATGGAAGCTCTGGTTGCTGCAATATCCACCATATAACCCATATTTTATTCTTTGATTTTATTTTTATTTCTATTCCTATTATTACTAATATTTTATTTATTTACTCAACTACTGGCTTTTATAAACTCTTTATTTTGTTTATTTATTATTTTTAAATATGAAGGCGTACCATTATAGGCTTCAGATCCTAGTATCAATCTGAGTGCGCTACTCGATAGAACTCACCAAAACACCACGCGTGAAGGTTATTAGCGTAAGCCAGACTGCAGAGACTTTGTGTGAATGTCATACTCTAGAACTTAATATGCGTAAATGAGGGGTGGGGGGACTTGTATTTGTACTCGAGACCCTTGTGGTTAAGAATGACAAGGGCTCAAAATTAACCGAATAAATGTATATTTATAATTAATAAGTGATTAATTTAATTAATTAAATTTATTTTTTTATGAAAAAATATTAAATTTGAGTTTTGTGGACATTTATTAGAGTTATTTTAATGTATGACTTATAGTCATTTATCTTAAATTATTATGTATGATATATCTTATTTCACTTGAAAGATTAAACAATTATCTACCTCAAAATTTATCTTACCAAAAAATATATATATTTATAATTCGTTTATTTATTTTTAAAGATATTTAGATTTGATTTATATTTAATAAAAAGTTATTTTATTTATTTAAATAATAAAATATTTATATTTGATTCAATTAAATTAAATAAATTTATTCATAAAAATAAATATATTTATAAATATATATAAATATATTTATGAATAATAAATAAATTATAACTAAATAAATTTAAATAAATGAATTTTAAATGAATATGAATAAATTCAAATGAATATAAATAAATCTTAAAATATAATTAAAATAAAAAATAAAAATATAATTTTTTTAATATTATTATAAATGAATAACAAATAAATAATAAATAAATAAATAAATTTTAAATGAATTTAATCACTAACGTAAACAAACAAAATATTTTTTTGTTCATGTTTAATTTTTTAATAAATAAAAATAAAAATATTATTCAAAATCTTTTATTAAATTTAATAAATAAATATAAATAAACAAAAATAAAAAATATTCAACCTTATTCATTTGCACACTTAAACAATAAGTTAATTGGATGACTTTTACATGGCTTTTAGTCGAGAAGTTCAAAGTTTCTAAAATTTGGAAAGTAGACTTGTCCGCAGGGACCCAAACCCTTTTGCCGCAGAGCCTGTGTTGGGGACCTCCTAAAGGTTTTCGAATCCGGGCGGCAAGCTAGGGTGCTGTAGGGTTCTGCGTCGTTGCACGCGCTCGGAGGTCTTTGGGACATTCCTGAAGTTTCTCACTTTGGTGTGCCTACTGTGACTCGAACTCCAACGCCCTCGTGCTCCCTTAGTCCTCGAGTGTGCACAAGCACAATTGATTGCTATCCAGAGACTTGATTCGACGGCTTGATTCGGGTACGCGCGTCAAGGTCTTGGGTGTGTGGTGTGTGCGTGCGGACAATAACGAGTAATTGCCCGTATCACTATTCTTGATGTTTAGCTTAAACTCCATGGGTTTGTACTTTTCTTTATTAATGATTTTACCCCTTTATTTTTTCTTATTGCATTATTATCTTCGAAAGTTGTAATCTTTTCAAATGTGCAAATTAGGTTAGTTGAAGTGTTGAACTTCTTTCGTTTAAAATTGTGTCCTTCTTCGTTTAATTATCTGTAATTAATTAAAATTTTTCAGGTCAAAAAAAAAAATCTATTCAATGTTTAACCTCAATTTTTGGTTTATTATAGTATAAAGATTTTTTATTAAAAAAATTTATAATTATTTGATTATAATTATAATTTATATTAATACATACAATTTCATAAAAAAAAAAAAGTCAATGTGTAATTTGTATCCCAATTATTTTGGCTTGTTTTTTGAAAAATGATTTCTAGGAAAAATAGGGCATTGGTGCAATTTCGAATTAAAACTAAAAATTCGAAAAAAATTATGTGTGTCTTTTAAAAAAAGTAATGAAAGTATTTTTACATGAAAAAAATAATATCAAATTTATTTCATCCACTATCAATAAATTTTTATATTTCATAAATAAAATTAAAAAGTGATACATATCTCTTATAATATTAAAAAATAATTAAAAAATAAATGAAAAATGTGTTAATCTTTTACTTTCACTTGTGAAATAAAATATTTATATTGACAATATATTAAATACTAACTGTAATAATATCATCTTATTATTTTTTATTCAAATCCAAATAAACTTTATAAAATAAAATACCTAAGAATGGTTTAAATAAATTGATAGAAGTCAAGGGTATAAAAGGAATTTTAGTACTAGCTCTCCCTCATTTTTTTTTCCTATTTTCTTCCACAAGTAATTTGAAACTCAAACCCAAGTTTTTATATTTTAAAAAATAATATATGATTATTATTTGATGATTTTATCACTAGTTGTGATGATGTTGTCAAACTTGGCTTAATGAAACTAATAATAGGTTAGTATAGTTTAGGGTTATTAGGTTTGATAGATCAAAATACTAGAAATTAAATAAAGGATTAAAATTTAATTATAAATTAGTTTATGACCCGAACTATGCACGTTTTATTTTTATATAATTATACATAAAAATATTATTTTTAACAAAAATATAAAACCTATATATGCATATATTCAAATAATATCTAAGAGAAACTTATTATTATATGAATACTACATGTAATTAAAAAGTTAAATGAAAAAAATTAAATTAAATATTTTTCCATAAGTGTGATCAAATTTATCTTAATTAATTTAAGATTTCAAAGCGATTTCACCTATTTTTTAAATTGATTAGAGGAAATGAATGATTCCTTTTAATAATATTTTTTTTTTATTAATTTGAATACACATATATTAGTCACAAAATTATATCATTAAAATTTTAATATTGCTATTGAAACTCGAAATTTAAATAATTTAGAACATTATAAGATGTGTTTAAAAAATTAATTATATATTGAAGTATATGATGAACCAAAGATTTATTATATATGTTTGAGAAAAAAAGAATCAAAGATTTACTAAATATGTTTGAACAAGAAAAAAAAAAATTTATTATATAAGTATGAACTTTGAGTTGAAAACCAATATAAGTTCAAATAATATTAAATTGGTTAAACTTTCTGTTAAATTACATATAAAAAATGAAAAATAAAACTGTAAATAAAAAGAAGTGAAGAACAATCTATTTCCTTACTCATTATAAATGAAATACTTAATAACCAAATAGAAAATAAAATAGAGAAAAGTAGATTTTTAGTCTTTTTTTTTTGATAAATTGAATAATGAATTTATCAAAGAAATAGAAACACATAAGTGCCAAATATTAATAATAAATCAAAAAATCATTCAAAGAGGTCTATAAAAAAATTAAAATTTTGATAAAAAAACGTATCATCATTCACATTCGTTTTTAACATTATAACTTTTTGTTGTAATATGAAAACCTTGCAACTATAAAATTGAAAAGAAAATATTAATTATCAATTATTTAAGAACACTAAACCAAGACTAAAATAAAAAGAAAAATTGTCGGTGATCATGTATTGGGATAATCTCGAATGCACGACCTGCAGACACCTGTTTTAGACTGTCAAGTACAACACATCTTACTCTGACTTGAGAGATTGAGTAACCTATCTACCTTAAATTTTTATAACCAAAAAATAAAAAAAAATCAAATAATCATAATTAAGATTAATTTAATAATTCTAAATTGAATGATCAAGGAAAATATATTTACAAAAATATAATTTAAAATAAAAAAATAAAATAACATGTCACAAAAAAATAATAATACTTACAGAGTTAAAATCTTGTAACATCACTTTAGACCTTATTATAAAATGCAAAAAATTGGTATAAAATATAAAAAAAAATCATATCATTATTTAAATAATGTATCAAGGGTAAAAAATAATAGAAGAATACAAATAAAATTTTGTTGACAATAGTTGTTGTTTATGTCAACTTTATCATACCACCATTATATATATAGATAACATGCATACTTTTAAATGTGAATCTCAACGGTTGAGCTATCGATCAATTACATATTATTATTAAAAAAATATTGTCTCTTTAATTATATATTATTATAAAGTTTAAATTTTAAATAACATAATTTGACCTATCTATTCTTTTTATTTTTGTATCAAACACCCAAAATTAAGGTAATATAAGTATAAAAAATTATAGAGAATTTGAAAAAAAATTAAAGCTATAGAATGCATGGCCAATAAGACTTTTTATTGCAAAAAAAAAAAAAAGAAAGAAATATTCATACTTAAAGTTAAAAAAAATACTAAAATTAAAGCTATTGAATAGATAATAATATTTTTTTGGACGATAATTAAAAAAATATTAAAGATTAAATTAGTTTGTAATTTTAATTTTGAAATTTAAATTATTAATTATGATCAAAACACATGATATCATTTGACACTATTTATGTATAAAAAATTATCCTACATATATAGACTTATTTCATTTTTTTAAAGTTAATATATTGAAGTTATCTCATGTGTGTGTATATATATATATATATACATATATATATTAAATTATTCTATTAAATTAATATGTTTATATAATTATAATTAAAAATTATTAAATATGCAAAATTATTCATAATTAATTAGTTTTTTATTTAAATTTTTATTTTTTGAATTAATGTTCAAATTAATTAGAACTAATTTATAGGAGGCAAGCATATTGGTATTTAAATATAGTTAATTTAACCATAATAAATTATTTTAAAATTAATTATATAATCAAATTTATTAATTATATAACACATGTCATTTAACTATGACATTCCACATATAAAAAATGTACCTTATCTACACCGGATTATTTTTTTTATACTAAAGATTTTGATTTTTATATATTTATATAAGATTACTTAAAAGTTCAAATATAGTACATTTGAATTCAGATATTAATTTAATTGTTTATGTAATTATTTCTAATAAATAATGTTTAATTATTTTATATTTAAATTTCAGTATTTATAATTAATTTTCTATCTTTGTACTGCAACTTTTTTTATTAAAAAAAAAAAAAAAAACCAAACATCTATCTTTTAGTCGTCCTTGCTCTGAAAACCCTCCCAATTTCCAAGCAATACCTACCATGAGAAAAATAAAAGTGTGATAGATGC